GGGGGGGACGGGTCGTCCGCCTTTTCGCTTCCTGGGCTTGCGTTGCCGCGGGAAAGTGAACCTTGGTGGGCTTGGGGGGGCTGGAGGGAGAGGAGCGGAAAGGCTGCTGCGGTCCTCGGCTGCTTGGTTTGGGAGCGTCTCCTGCCTCCTCCCCCCCCCGCCGTTGCAAAGCCGCGGTTGAATGCAGCCTCGGGGCCGATGGGGTCATTTCGTGCCGCTTGCTCATTTTACTTCCCCACCCAGTCTCATAAAAACAAAAGTTTGAGGCTGAGGAATGGCGACTCCGGCAAAAAAAAAAATTGCCCAAAACAGAAGTACCTTTGAGAGGAAAACAAAGTTCTTTTCTGTGAGTCTTTGGTTTACGACCTTCATTATCCCAGGCGCACGTGGTTTGTAATCCAAGAAAGCGCCTGCTGAAATAAACGTGTTCGGTCTCAAGGTGCCACCTTACCTAACCGAACGAACGTGGCTACCTGTGCGAGTATTGATCCCAGAAACGCTCACCTGGAGCCTGAACTTTAGATTATGACATAGGCAGGTTGTGGTCCCGCATCATCACGGCTGGCGAGTAGGATGTAATCAAAGGGTCGGAAAGAAGAGGTGGCAAGATGGATAAGAAGGCGGTAGCGATGTAGAAATTTGAATTTCTTTTGCGTTTCCCATAGGCTGATGGTGGGGATTTATTTTCCTGAACTTTCTCAAAGTTTGGAAAAGTTATCTCTAGCCAACAAAGTCAGTGTAATCCCAAAAAGTAACTCTTCCAACCTCTGTGGTTGCTCTTCAGGAATGGGTTTATCCTTGGCAGACTGTAGTACCATAAAGGCGGAGCATTGTTAGCTCAAACGACATAGTGGGCAAACACGGCAAAACTAGTTTTCCTAGTCAAAAAGCAAGATAGCAAAAATTCCGAGGTCAGGAAGAATGTAATCTCCTTTTCTTAATCAGCAAAATTGAGTCGCCCTGCCATTTCTTCCATTCGTGGGAGGATTTTTTAAAAGGTCAGCTAAGGTTGCTATGTCTGCTTGGGCACTCAGGGTGACCATATGGTGTGGAAGGTGCGACCAGAGAGCCGCTCAGGCACGCTGCCTCCAGTCAGCATATTTGCCTTGAGAGTCAGGAGCATATGCCCGCTGCATAAATCACTCGAGGTTGAAAACTCCCGTTCCGACCCTTCTCGCTCCTCGGTTCTGTCGATACTTGCATGTGTAACACCTTTCCGAGGTGAGGGAAGGACTTTTAATACCGGCAGTAGGAGTCTCCGATAAAGGCTGTGACAAAAATCGCAAAATCGTGCTTGGTAAAACTGAACAGCATGTCCCTTTTTTGCAAACGGAATTTTAAACAATCAACCAACCTGCCGGTGAATCCCCACGTGGGAAAACAAATTGCGTAAGTGAAGGAGAGTAGAAAAGTTCTCGCGCGCCTTTCTGTGATTGGTTGCCGTTGCGCTCGGCTCCCCTTTCCATTCGTTGAAGATTCCAGCCATCCCCGCCTCCCGATTAGTTTATTATCCGCGCCCAGCGCGGCTATTTCATCCTCTGGCTATTTGGCCCCGCCCAGACGCGTGGAGGGGGTTCCGAGTAAACATCATCCTTTTTTCTAATTGGTTAAGCCTTCCCCAGTCCTGTGGCTCGCCTTCCTATTGGCCAGCATCGCGTGCTTTTGGAATCTTCGTAAAAACTAAAGGAATGCGAAGGAGCGCACGCGGTGGAAGTGGCGTCTGGCACAATCAGATAAGGAGGGGCGGGGCCTGGGGGGGCCCGTAGGAGATTTAAAAAGCTGGCCGCTGGTGTCGGCCGCTTCCTGTTTAACTGGCCATGCTTTTGGCGCAAGGTCCCCTTTGCTACCAGAATCCCGAAGGAGGGTCTCTGGCCCCCGATGACGCCGCCTCCGCTGAAGAAGAGCCTCGTTGCTTGGGTACGCAGTACACCCCCCCACCCGCATGCACCTGAAGAAGTGCGATAGAAGCTCTTAAAGCCTGCGCACAATAAGCTTCGTTAATCTAGGAAGGTACCAAACCACCACCAAAACTGAGAACCCTGGTCCCGTAAGGCTGCCCGCCTGGAAGCACGTGTGAGCAGTTTCCAGCAGTCTTTGTGAATGGGAGGGCGGGCCGGCCGGCCGGTTTTGCAATCCAGGCAGAAATCCGTCACTTTCTTTCGGTCGGTTTTGCAATCCAGGCAGAAATCCGTCACTTTCTTTCTCTTTCAGGGAAGGCGACCTTGGAGACGCGCTACCGCCTGGGAGCCTTAATCGGGAGCGGCGGCTTCGGCAGGGTGTATGCAGGGACGCGGCTCAGCGATTCTCTCCCGGTGAGCCCGGCTGTGGGCGCGGGTCCTTTTAAAAAAAAAACTTTAACCTTTGAGTGAGCAAGATGTGATGTGGTGGTTAGTTTGAGGGACTAGGACTCAGAAGACCTGGCTTGAAATCCCCTTTCAGGCATAGAAATTCAGAGGGAGTGGGGATTGGCGCTGGGAAAACCACTTCTTAATGTCTCACCTTGGAAGCCCTAATAGGGTCCCTGTAGGTGGGTTCTGACTTGACTGGAAATAACAGTAGCAAGAAGCAAGTGCATCCTTCGCTGTGGGTGGGATTTAGGGAGCAGTATCCGGGAGGGATAAGGTGACGCTGCAGGTTAAATTGCAGAAGCCTCTGTGCTGCAAGGTCAGAAGACCAGCAGTCGTAAGATCGAATCCACACGACGGGAGGCTTGTCCCAGCTCCTGCCAACCTAGTAGTTCGAAAGCATGTAAAAATGCGTGTAGATAAATAGGTATGGCTATGGCTTGGAAACGGGGATGAGCACCACACCTGGAGTCTGACACGACTGGACTAAATGTCAAGGTAACCTTTGCCTTTACCGATCTCAGAGGGAAGCCAGACAAACCCAGGACAAGTTGAGACTCCTTCAGTTCAGAGTTTGTTCCGTCAAAGACACTGCAGGTCCTTTCACCATAGGTGGGAGAGCCAATGTGATGCTGTGCTTAGAGTGTTCGTGTAGGACTTGGGGAAGCTTGCATTCAAATTCTCATTCCCCCATGAAGCTTACTGGGTAACTTTGGGAATTGCAGTTCAAGCTACCCCATAAAGTTGCTATGTGGGTGAAGAAGGGAGAGAAGAACCCTATATTGCTCCAATAAAAATAAATCTATAAGCATGATTCTTTTATCTGAGTGCTCCTGTTTCTCCCTCCTCAATAAAACAGTTTTAGGTAGGTTGGGCTTTATCCAAGGATGAGATGGTTAATTTTGAAACACAGGTGCCCATCATAGGCATGTCCTCAAGAAGCATCCCAAACTGCAATCAGTTCTGGCACTGAATCAACAAACCAATCTAGCCCTTCTTATATCCTTGAATAATAAATGTTTTGTAAAGCCAATGAACCTTGAATCAACAAACCAGATCTATCCCTTCTTATATCCTTGAGTAATAAATGTTTTGTAAAGCCAATGAACCTTAGTGGCCCATTCAAACCCAGGTTAATAATAATCATGTGCATTCAAGTCAATTTTGACTTATGGCAATCATTTTCAGGGGTTTCCAGAAGTGTTTTACCATAGCTTTTGGATAGCTAAGTGGTTTAGGTATCTGGCTATGGAGTCAGAAGTTGGGAGTTCAATTCCCCACTGTACCTCCTTGGCAGGAGCTTGATCAGTGATCCATATGGTCCCTTCCAGTGGTGTAGTTCTAAGATTACTATTCCCTTCTTCTGGAGGCACCCTAGGACTGTGTAGCTTGCCCAAGGCCACACAGGCTGGCTCTACTCCCAGAAGGCACAGCAGGGAATTAACCTCCCAATCTCTGGTTCCATAACCAGATACCTAAACCGACTATCCAGCCAGCTCAATCCAGGTTACCTGAAAACAATTTTCAGTGGAACAGGGTCATTCATAGCAGTACACTTGTTGCGGAAGTTCATTTCCTTTCTAGCTATAGCAAAGGCTCCCAATCTTGGGAAGCTCAGGTGTTTTTGGACTGCAGTTCCTAGAAGCATTCATTAGTACCTGTGCTTGATTGGGTTTAATGGGAGTTGCAGTTCAAGAACACTTGGGTTACCCAAGGTGGGGAATCACTGGGCTACAGTGAAGGTTGCTAAAAGGGAACAGAGACCCTAAGGGAGGTGACAGATGGGACAACATGGAATCTTGTGGCCCTTTAAAACTAAAATGTTCTATATTTATTAAACTTTTGTGGATTGTGGCCCACTTATTCAAATGCATTGTTGTGCAGATGGGATAACATGGAATCTTGTGGCCTCTTAAAACTAAAATGTTCTACATTTATTAAACTTTTGGGGACTGTGGCCCACTTATTCAAATGCATTGTTTTTGTTGCAAAATACCAACTCTGCCACCCCAACCTGAAAAGTTTCAGATAAAGGAATTGTTCTTTTTGTTGCAGCATTCTAACTCTGCCACCCCACCCTGAAAAGTTTCAGATAAAGGAATTGTTCCTGCTAATAATAAAAAAAAAATAAATCTGGTGTTTAGACCTTGTTTTGTGATTAACACACTTCAACCCAAATCCTCTTACCTAGTTAAACTGGCATAGCACAAACAGCACAACTTTGGAAGGGGAATTGCCCCAAGTTAAGACACCTGTAGATATTATTAGTTGTGTACTTTTGTGATTCTGCATGCAACTGGTTTTTTGGAGGGTTTTTTTAAAACTTGGAGCAGTCGGCTTCCACAAGTTTTTCCATTTGCTTGGCTACACAAAGGATTTGGGACTTTGTCATATATGTCAGTGAAATCTTCTCTTCCCTTGGCTTAAGCCAATTTTTGTTAAAGATGAATATATCAATATGTGCGTTTCTGTGCAAATATGAATATGCAAAAATTGGCATGGATTTTTTTCTCAACAGGATTCGTATTGATCAGGTTCCAGGCATTGATTTCTGAACTGAAGTCTTAGCAATTGTAGCATCAGCTTGGCAACCCAGGCTGGGAAATGGGTACTCAGGCAAACTAAAGATGAATGGTCGATGATGATGGATCTTGGTTGTAATTTTAAATTTAGAGGGTTTTAGCAGCTTAAACAGTATTGTTTTTTCAACTTTGGTATACATTGAGCACTAAATAAGTGAACTGTTCTATGTTCCTGATTTTTCTTGGTTATATGTATGAAATATCAACAACATTTTAATCAACAGCGTGCAAGGAAGTTAATCCTAACTGGTAATGCTTTTTTCAAATAACAAAGTAGTTTGTCAGACTGACTTGTTTCTTAACAGCAGGTATACTTACAACAGGTACTGTTTTGCTCCGGGACATGGCCTAATTCAGTGGTTCTTAACCTTTGTTACTCGGATGTTTTTGAACTGCAACTCCCAGAAACCCCAGCCAGCACAGCTGGTGGTGAAGGCTTCTGGGAGTTGCAGTCCAAAACTCCTGAGTAACCCAAGGTTAAGAATCAGTGGCCTAGATGCATTGGACTACAATTCCCAGAGCATTATAGAGCTAGATTTAATGGTAATGTAGACCCACTGAATGAGTCGGACGTGGTAAATAAACATGAATTTACATCCAAGTGATTTAGTGGATCTACTTTTGTTGGGATCTGACACATCTGAGAATCAGCAGATTGATGAAGAGTGGCATGGGTAATATTGAACTTGCTGGATTAAAGGACTAGGTAGGTCCAAATTAGAGGTGCACATATTTGTGGTTTTGGACCACAACTCCCAGAATTCCCTAGGCAACATAGCCATGCTGCTTGGGGAATTCTGGGAGCTGTAGTCCAAAAACATAAATATTCATGCCTGTAGTATAAAGATTCTGCACTTCAGCTTCGTTTTGGATGTGAAGAGTATGCATATGGGAAGAAAACCGAACACCAAGCTCTAAACTAATGGTTCCCAACCTTGGATCTTCAGATGTTCCCTAGACTAAAACTCCCAGAAGCCTTCACCGCTAGCTGTGCTGGCCAGGATTTCTGGGAGTTGTTGTCCAGGATCAGGAGCCCAAACTTCTCCATGGTTCGGCACTTTCATGGGGATACATTAATAAAAAGTAAGAAATTGGGTCTAAAACATTGGGGAAGAACTGCTGGATAGTTCAGTGGTTTAGGTCTCTGGCTGTGGAGCCAGCAGCCGGGAGTTCAGTTCCCCACTGCGCTTTCTTGACAGGGGCTGAGTGATCCATAGGGTTCCTTCCAACTGTGTAGTTCTGAGATTATTATCATTATAACTGTCTTGCTCAGAGAGAATATTCAGATACTCATTGTTCTTAAATTGTGAAGCTGTCTCAGTCTGGAAGTTCCCATACTTGATTGAGGAGGCGTGCAAGCCTTTCCCCATCTTGCGTTAATAGGCCTTCACGAGGCAACTCCAGAAAACAAGACCCCTTCTGTGCCTTGGTCAGGATAAAACGAGGGGCTGTAGGAGCATTTAGACCACAGCTTGAAAAATAGGCCTTTTGGGACTCACTTGATTACTGATACACCAAAGAATAGTTTTCAGGAGGGAAGCCTTTACTATCTTAATTTCAGTTTTTCCGTTCAACGTTTTTGCAGAAGGAACACTGGAAACCCATTTTATAGATAGGAAAAACTGAGGATGAAACACTAGTACCGCCTACGGCAATGCTTTGTTTACTTCATGAAGCTGATCTGGCTGGAAATGAATGTTGCCTCTTGTTCCTCCCATTTGGGTCCTGGCCGTCTAGCCACCCCTTAGTCCTATGAAGAAGATTAATGTGCAGCCTGGGAACAAGAAGTGTAGTATTTCGATTCCAATGCAGTACCTTTGGGCCTGTTATCACCTGCTCTTTTTGGTTCTTACAGGTACACGGGTCTATAGTCCCCCTGAATGGATAAAGTATCACCGGTACCATGGCCTCCCGGCTACCGTGTGGTCCCTGGGAGTGCTGCTGTACGACATGGTGTGCGGGGACATCCCTTTTGAACACGACGAGGAGATCCTTCTTGGGAAACTCCACTACCACTGCAGAATATCCTCAGGTCAGGAGGCAGCTGCTGATCACAAGAAAAACTACTGTCTGCTTGCCCAAATAATTTCACCTTCTCGTTGCAGCACCTCACGTGTTCTCTTCACTTTTTCATGCGGGCATTTTCCAAATACCGTGGTGCCCCGCATAGCGAGGTTAATCCGTTCCGGATTAACTGTCGCTATGGGGAAACATCACTATATGGAATGGAAAACTCCATAGAAACGCATTAAACGTAGTTTAATGCGTTCCTATGGCTCTTAAACTCACCGTTCTGCGAAGTTTCTCCATAGCGCCGCCATTTTCGTGCCCTCGGTAAGCGAGGGCAGGGCGCGAAAATGGTGCGGGCGGCCATTTTCTGCACCCGGTGACCATTTTGGAACCGCCGATCAGCTGTTCCCAAAATGGCCGCCGGGTGCAGAAATGATCGCAATGCAACGTTTAGCCTATCTAAACATCACAATGCGATCGCATTAGCGACCGGAAAAAACGGGTCGCTATGTGGATTCGTCGTTAAATGGTGCGCTCGTTAAGCGAGGCACCACTGTACATGAGCACACAGACAACATTTGGGCTTCCTCCCTGCACTCTGGCTGCTTAGGCTCTAAGACAGCATCTTCCAGATGTGCTAGACTACACCTCTCATTGTATTTAACCAGTATGGTCTCAGTTGGCTTGAGATGATAGGAGAAGTGAACCCACCCATTTGGATGATGCCGGGTTTGGGGAGGCTTATACTAAATCATCAGCACTGATCTGCTTTGCATGAGTTTCTAATTCTGGAACATACAGCCTCCACATCCAATGCAGTGAAGAATTAGAAGTTCCATCTCACCCAAATGTCACCTCTGCCTTATCAAAGGTGGAGCTTTGATACTTGAGTATTCTGAAAAGCAAAGCAGGCTCCAAGTAGAGGGTGGAATAGGGAGCAGTGACCCAAAGGTACAGATTCTTAATAGGGCAGGCGACAATGATTATTGGCACCTAATGCTGGAAGCTAGGGGTGAAGCACATGCCACCTTTCCAGATATGGCTGGACTACAGCTCCTATCAGCCCTTGGCATCATAGCCAAGGGTGTCGCTTGGTGGGAGTTGGAGTCCAAAAGATCTGGGAATTCATAGTAATGTAAACAGCACTGAGGTGGGGGTAGACATTTGGCCTGTTTCACTAAGGAAACTTCCTGAGTAGGGTTCCAGATATCTTAAATTTTTGGTCTACAGCCTCCAGAACAACCACCGCCACTACCCGAGCCAGCCTGGCTACAGGGACAGGTTTTGGAAGTTGCATTCCAACAAATTAACTTTTAAAAGTTATTTTTCTAAGCTAATGGCCGACAACATCATCTGGGTTCTGCGAATTCTTTGTTTCAATTACAGTGGTGCCCCGTATAGCGAGGTTAATCCGTTCCGGATTAACCTTCGCTATACGAAAACAGTGCTGTGCGGGTAAGTAAAACCTAGTTTAATGCGTTCCAATAAGTGTGCAAACTTACCCCTCCAGCGATGTTTTCGCATCTGGCGGCCATTTTGGAGCCACCGATCAGCTGTTCGGCGGCTCCAAAATGGCGTTATTTTCCTAAGCTAATGGTCAACAACATCATCTGGGTTCTGTGAATTCTTTGTTTCAGTTAGTTTTCTTAGAGACACAATCTTTGTTTTTGCACTCCCGGCTGTATTTATTTTCTGTATTGATTGTGGAGATCAGCATCCTATTGGCTTCCTTGGCCAGACCCATTTTGTTTATGTATTAAATGGCATTTTTAAAATCAGGAAGCTATTTGAAGATTCTTGGTGCATGCCATCTGAATCTTGATCTCAAATTGTCAGTGAGCCTGACAGCCTCACGGTGTCTGGAAATATAAAGGGTTTGGTAGGCCGACAGGACAGGCCCTTGGCATGGGTCACTCTGTCTTGTGAGTTAAATTAACTCTGCTGTGTTTGAATGACTTTGTTTTGACTGACTTCTTTTGGGTGACAAAACTGAACTGAGTATCAGCTCCTAGACCTTCTCCATAATGAATGGATCCTGAGGAGTTTTGAGAGATTAATTCCTTCCCAGCTTTGGATCCTCAGTGTTTAACTTGAAAAGGTGGAGTGTTGCCTGGTGGGTGGTGCGGTATTGACGGCATCCTGCAGTGTTCAGAGTACTGGACTAGGATTGGGGAATGTAGGTTCTACTTCATTCCCCCTTCTCCAGAACCATAAAACTTGGTGGGTTCCTTTGGCTAATCACTCTCTTCTCAGGCTGACCTAGTTTACAAGACATTTATAAGTCAAATGTGGGAACAGGAGAGCCATAAGCATAAAAGGGGAGGCGGATGTGCCTTGAGTTCTGTAGATAAAAGGAAGAATATATGTGTATCTAATGAATAAATAAAATTAAAATGTTCTCTTTTTTTTTAATAGACTGCGGTCACTTGATTGAGTGGTGTCTCTCGCTTGCCCCCGAGAAGCGACCTTCCCTGGAGCAGATCCTGGCCCACCCCTGGCTCCTTGGGATTTTGGAGCAAAACGGACGCAAAGGGCAACAGTCGGCGGTTTCGAAAGCTGGCACTAGCCTGTGACTGTGGTGGCCTCTGGACAGCCTTGGTGGGGTGGGAGGTGGCCACGGAGTGGACAAAGAGCTCTTGGCTTTTCCTGCAACCACCTCTCTGATGTAATCACTGTCTCTTATTCCTGCTGATTAGCTGAGCGACTGCCCCTGGCAAAGGAGCAGCGAATGGGGGGCAACTCCAAGTGACCTTGCCAACTAGTTAGACAGTGGGGCTGGCATTCAGTCCCTACCCAAGACAATAGAGACCAATGGGCACTCTTCTGTTTACATGAGGACTTTTCCTGCCCCTTCCTTTGCATTAGTAAAGGGGTACAAGACTGGCATCAAGCAAAGTGGTGTTTAATGGGCCCCAGTGTTGGCTCCACTCCTTCTGTACCCTTGGATCAGTATTGGAATCTCACAGGATATCCTTGAGGCAGCAGAGTTGGGTTCATGTTTTAACGCAATATGGAAAAGGTGGCGTTTCTGCAGGTGTCAGCTTGTTATTTATTTAGGATGGTATTCCTATGGGAACCCTTGTTGCTTTCTCTTGTGTTAATGCTAAACCTCTGCTTGCCATCGGTTTGGTCATAGAAACGTTTTCTCCAGTCCACCCAGGGAGTGGATGCCATCATGCAGGGCTGGGGAACACCTGGCGCTCCAGAGGTGGATGTAGTGACTCTCCCATTGTGCCTCTCCATTGGCCAGGCTGGCTAAGGCTGATGGGAATTAAAGTTCAGCCATATCTGAAGGGCCAAGAGGTTCCTCTGCTCTGATGTGATAGAGACTGTACTGTTTCTTCCTCCTCATCGCATATTTCCATTTCTGTTCGTTCATTCCAAGTGTGAACCCGCCTTTCCAGTCTTTTCTTCCCCTTCAGCTAGTTGTAAGGTTTAGGGAGTTGGGGGGAAAAAAATAAAAGAACAAGAAAGAGGGTCTAGGACTCATAAAAAAAAGTACACATAAAATGAAAAATAAATGGATAAATCCCAAGGGTTTTTTTTTTCAGTTGAGTTTGAAGCAAACAAAATCCTCTTTTGTTCAGCTCTAGACCATTATGTAAGCTACAGCTTAGGTTGAAGGCAATCCAAGGGAGATTCTGGAGTTTCTGAAAGCACAGGCTAAATATTTGGGTGCTACCAGCCCATAGCAGCCTGAACTGATCCTGTTACTGTCAAGATTTCATTTTGGAGTGCTCTGTGGAAGTCTTGTGTCTTCTTACAGTTCTTCTTGGTCATGGCCAGTTCCTAAGAAAGCTTGAACATGGATTTGTTCTTGTAAGCACTCTCATATCCCCATTTGATCTTACTCTGCCCAAATGTTGAGTTTACAACTACATTTTAGGTTTCATTCACAACAAAAGATGCTTGGAGCCACTGAATTCCTCTTCCCCCCCCCATCCCTGGCCCCACAATCTGAATTGTTCTTTTCCTTCACCTATTGAGTGTTTCTACCCACTCCACCCCCATTTTGCTTTGGACACTGGAAAGACAATAGGAAGTCATGGGATCGGCCCTCAATCTAGGGTGTATGTAGCCTCTTAGATCATGGGTAAGGGAACCTTCGATCTTTCATGACGTTTTGGATTTTGGCTCCAAGCCCCCACCCCAAGTGTACCCAATGAGATGGGATTCTGGGAATTGGAAATCAAAATGCATGGAAAGCAAAAAGTCCCCACCCACCATGTGTTAATTCATCTGCAATAACTGGGTTACAGTGTTCTCTTGTCTCTTAATGGAGGGACGTTATTTGAAGGGGATGAGATGGCAAAGATCTACTAGCTCTGTAAACTGGTCCTAGGAAGGGTTCAGATTTTGTTATTTTCAATGCGTTGTCAAGATTTCTTAGTGATTTTTGAGATTGGGTGGGGAAGACAGCTCTTTTCTTGACTACATCTCCTATTGCTGTAGAAGTTCAATTTCTGTTACAATAGGAGAAGTGCATACGGATCCTATAGGGAGTTACCTGATTGTGCTTAAGAGAGATGGAGATGCATTCTGTTCTTCAGGCAGGCTTTATGCTTATATCTCCTGAGCAGGGCTCTGTAGCTTTTGGCCAGCCTTGGTAAGCAAGCCAGAAGGTGTCCCCCAGGCTCCAGAGTCTCGGAAGAGGACCCTGCTTGATGTCACCCTGGGTTCAAAACCCAGAGTGATTAGGGGTTTGAAGATGATACCTTCTTCCCCAGTTCTGGGTTGGGAAAGGAAGGAGAGCTCACTCCTTCTGCACAAATTCTGGAAGCTATGAACTATCTCCAAGCTAATGTCTCCAAGGTTTTCTGTGGTATCAAAGATACTTTGGAATAAGATTTTGTCTAATGGCTTCCGTGCCTGGGCTAAAACATACTCAGCAGGGCAGTGTGGCCAGTGCATTTATGTATCCCTCCATTTCTACCAGGCCAATACTCTAGTGAGTTGTGTTGTCTTAAAATGCCTGTCTGTTCAACATAGGTTTTCTAATGTTCTGTCTCTAAGATACATCCAAGCAGAGTCTGGGGTGCAAGAGAAGGGTAGTGGGGGGTTCAATAGGTTACGACAACGAGAATCCAGCCTGGGAAAATGCCAGCATCAGTTTCTTAGCCTGCTGCCTCTGGCAACATAACTGAAGAATATTTCTATGCCAGTTGAGGATTTGATTTTGTATTCATGAATTTGTGTGTGTGTTGTTGTTTTTTTTGTTCTGTTACTGCATCCTGTGCACATTTGTGCAAACCACATAACACAGTGCCTCGCCCGTTTGGGCTCCAGCATTTACAGAACTCCTTTCTGGGATTAAATAAACTTTTATAAGAAAAAAACATGATGAGAGAATTGGCTTGTCTTTTTCTTGTCAGCACTGAAGATCAACAGCAGCGCTGTTATCAGAACTCAACAGCAGTGCTGTTATCAGACCGGTGGAACATGTATATCTGGTATAAATGCCGGAGCTAAAGTTTAAGGTGGGTGGTGAATTATTTTGCAGCTGGTGAGCAGGCCAGCTACTCTTATGAAATTCACAAAATAGGAAGTACATAGATTTGAAATGAAGCCTACTAAAAACTGCAGTTTCTCTTTGCTCGATATTCTGAGAACATTCAGGGTGTCATACCATGCTGATGTATGAGAAATAGAAGCATAAAACCAGTGTGAAATAATAAGCAGTAAAAATAAATACACGAGAATGAGTGTAGTGTCAGATCATACATTGGGAGCCTACAACCAGTGAAAAATTGAAAGGGTGCTTCTGCTTAAAGCCAGCAATTAGGAAGGGCCGTGGGGTGTCTATGAGAAATGTGTTCCAGATTTGGGAAGCCTCTCTCCTGGTGCCATCAATCTTCCATTTCTGGGTGCCCTGCCATGCCCAACGTATACATATGTAGGGCATGCAGTTATTTTGAAATGATAACATGCCATTCTTGAAAGGGCCTTTTTGCACAGGGAGTATCTTTAGGAATATACCTGGTAGTCTGACTTTGCAAGGATGAGTAGTGATTATAACAACCTACTCCTGAACTATTTTCTCTAGGCATTCTGAAATTACAAATGGATAATTTAGATAAGTAGCTAAAAGTATGGTAGACTTACCTGTGATATCTGTCTTTCCTTTGCTTAACTGTCTGTATCCTCCATAAAACTCCAAATTGATGTAAAATTTACAGTAAAGGGTAGAAATCTAGTTTCAGTAAGAGTGTATATGTGATTGTCCAGTATTTTATTACTGATTTATAAACCGAACAACACAGAATTAGGTTTTTTTTTATCAGGTAGTATCTAAAAAGGTTTTGATAATGGATATTATAATATAGAGGTGCAATTAACTCCCTTAAAATCTCAGTCCTTGGTTGAATAAAGCTGTCGATCAATCCTGAGTCTAGCAAAGTGTCCCCTGCTTTCTCAGGAAGTATGTAGGAAGCCTTTCCTGATCTTTTCCATGTAGGGATTGTGTAACTGCTTCCCACAGTATGAATCAGAATTAATTGGATGTATGGCAACAACACAGAAGAAAGCAACTGGAGTGAGTTGCTGAATTACAAAGGTGTGGGTCTGCTGCAACCTGTTCATCTTGTGGTTATGCATAGATTGATGAACCTAAGGGAGTTGCCTTTAAATAAAAGCCACCATCAAAGCAATGTCTTAGCAGGACCAAGAATGGAACCCACCAACATAAATAGTGAGAAGTCACTGTCATGCAAGGGGATGGAAAGGAGGTGTGGCAGCAGGAATGCCATGTTCAGGATGAAGCACATTCCAGTTTCCCCAAGACACGTGTGGGAGTATGCGCTGTTGTCTGAGGCAGCTGAAACCTGCAGTTGTCTGTTCAGGTTCTGACAAGATCAAAGCCAGCCCTGCTTCCTATTAAAGAGGTGTGTTCATTAACGCCAGGGTATAAATTCTTCTCGACCGAGGTGATTGTGTGGAGACAGAAAGCTGTCAACCTGAACCTTCAAAGGTAAGTCATGTTTGCCTAAACGGGCTTCGTGGGATTGGAATGGAGGCAAAGACGATGCCACAGAGTACCTTTCACGACAGGAACTCGTGCTAACCTGGTACTATTGATCAAGGTGAATGGCTCCTAGGCGTGCTGGGAACTTGCCATACTGGATCGACCTGAATTCCATCCAAATTCGCAAAAAAAAAATACTGGTACTATCTTGCCAGGTGATTTAAATAGTTTGGCTACTTTATTACAGCAATGATTATGCTATTTTTATGATAACATTACGGACTCAACCTTTTGAATTTCGGTCAGTATTACTGTCTTACTGGGTCCTTGAGTTCCCTGACATGGCAGCTGAGATTGAGAAAGGAGTCTTCCAGGGCATAGCTGATACGCTTAATCAATTATCTTGTATCGACTTGAACACTATTATTGTTCTTTTGTTTTTCAAAACAACATTCATTCATGCCGCTAGCCATGTCCTTTAGGGCAGCGGTCCCCGACCTTTTTGACACCAGGGATCGGTTTAGTTGAAGACCATTCTCCCAAGGATGGGGGGAGGGTACTTGTTATGCAAGTTATTTCTGCCTCTCAGATAAGTTTCCACACCTGTAACAAAAGGAAATGCGGAGCAGAAGGAGGAGATGAGCTGCAGTTGAAGCTCCACTTCCCGTCAGATCAGCAGAGGCCTTAGAACCTAATAAGAGACAGGAGGCACAGCTTCGCTTGCTGCTCCCCTTCTGCTTGTCCGCTCATCTGATCTGGGCAGCCCGGTCCTTCCAAGGCCATAGACTGGGGTGGGTCCATGGCGGGGAGTTTGGGGACCCCTGCTTTAGGATATTCTTTCCCATCCTGTTTATCCATCTGTTTTTCAAACTGATGTCAACATTCTGGAGACACCTAACAAACTCAATTCTCATATCACTGTTATGGAAGGGAAAGCTTGTCCTTTCTTGTTTTTATTCTTTTTAATTTTAAAAGTTTTTTAAAAAGTCTCTGTGTGTATAGTTTATATATATAATTTTATTTATCTATCTAATCTATGTACATTAGATGGCAAATGTTAGGGTTCCCGCAAACATGCTTGTTCCTTTTCCTTGTTTTGTCATAGTACAATTTTGACACCAGCCCTGTTGGGACTCACCATCTGTGTTCACTCTTGGAGGAATTTACTATTCTTTAATATATGCTTGCAACCTTAAGCAAAACTTTAAAAAACAGAAGGGAAACCACTGTCTTAAGTAAAGAGGGAGACCTTGCCTCTGGACTGCCTTCTGCTTGGCCTAACAAAGAAATACTTTGAACCAGGCATACTGTAGTTCACTGTCATTTCTTGGCTATTTTTTTTTGTCTTTGTTGTTGTTCAACAGAGACATGTAATCCATTGCCATTCTGTAGATCCATGAAAGTCAATGGACGCAAGAAAGAGTGGAAGAGGATCTAGTCAATCCTCTACCCCCCAGCAATGATTATAAATAGTGCATTCAAGATAAGAAGGAGAACAGGAGAGGTGGGAGTTAGGTGTACAGTGGCAAGGGCAACTGTGGATGTGGTGAGGACGGTTAGGTGCTGTTCTCTGGCACTGTGAGCGAGTGACCTCCAAAAGGTCTTACCGTCAACAGCCCTGTTCAGCTTTTGCAGTCTTAAGGCTGTGGCTTCCTTTATGAGTGAATCCATCTCCTATTTTGCCTACCTTTTTTTCCTGGTGCCTTCAACTGTTCCCAGTATTGTTGCAAATATTGTCATGAGAATAGTTTCACCTGCTTGACACCCGTCCTTTCCTTTGTTTTCCTATTTTGTAAAACAATATTGTTGGCAGGTTGGAGCTGCATAACATGGTGTCAGCTGTTTTGTATGTCGTTGTGTAGAATACTGTACAGGCAGGTAAGAATGGAGATATGGGAAACCACATAGCCACTATTTAGGAAGGAGGAGCACAAGGGCAATAGAAAGAGGAGGCTTAGGGGTGGGTGAGGAGTCTATTTAAAGCAGCAATGACAGAGGTCCTCTCAGTGGGAGAAGCTGAATTTGCCTCTCATGGTATCCTGCTGCCTGACGCTGCTGCCTCATTCTGTCAAACGTTAGGGCTGGTCTGCACCTTAGCTGCCCTGGTGGAGGACCTTGCCCCATCTTGAAATCAGTCATGGCCACATTTTCAGCACCCTCAGGCAAAAAAACATATATGACCAAATCATAAAGCCAAAGAAATGCTCAGAGTGACCAACAGGTTGTTTTGTGGAGGGTTATTCCATTGCTCATAATTATCTCCAGCTTGCAATCTAAACCACATTCATTGAGCCAAGGGGAAAAAAATGCCAGAAGTCAAGAGACTCAGTTCAGTAAATATTACTTGAGATATGAAATGAGCATGTGGTCCAGCAATCACACAGTTATTTAGCTACATATGGAATTCTCTGTGGATCAGCTTAGCCTGCATGATCTGTGGTTGTGTGAATGAGCCTTAAGATTAATTCAGCTGTTCTGTTCACTGCTGGAAAGTGGCCATTCATATGCAAAAGCTGAATAGATGTGATCAGAGATTTATTTTCCTCAGAATTTAGAGAGACTCGGTTTATGAAATGCTTCACCATGTGCTTAGGTTCTGATTCCCCATTCTTACGGCCTTGCCTCTGTTTTCACATGTTCCAGAACTTGACAGCAGTTTTGCAAGTTGTGGTCCTGTATGTATAAAAAGAGAATAGACAGCTTTTTTTTGCCTGTCCAGAGCAAGAAAAATGACATACTCATTAATCCCACCCCAAAACAGTCACATCAGTTAGTCCAGAATTTAAGCCTTGTTTTAGAGATAGGACTGCCCCTGTAATTAAGCAAAATAAGGCAGCTGCCTCAGGCTGCAGACTTTGGGTTCCATGAAAACCCAACACATTTTTAGCTCTTCAGTTTGATGTTGACGAATGTTTGCTGCTATAGATGGGAAGAGTGCCAGGATAACCTGGTTGGCATTGAGTAGTTCTGCATCTTGGTTTGAAGAGGCAAGAGTGCCCTTTGGTGGCCCAGCTAAGGGTTGAAAAAGGCTAAGCAAAAGGTTAAACTGGTGTTGGTGCCTTGGGGTTTCTGGTGTACCAGCAGAAATCCAGGCTTTAATCCAAGCATTGCAACATAGGGCACATGGGCCTACATCTGTCCCAAGGATTAGGTTGCCTCCCCATCACTTGTGATGTGTATTAGATTACAGGATAGCTACAGAGTTACACTGGAGGAAATCCTATTAGCAAACAGAAAAAGAATGTAGCTCCAGCCGAAAGATCACGGAGTTCAGTTTTGCCTCCCAAATGGGGCTAAAGAAGAAATCTGCATGAAGGGCTCAGTAAATTGATCCTGTTGCTTATACACTGCAGAAGAAGAAGAAGAAGAAGAAGAAGAAGAAGAAGAAGAAGAAAGAAGAAGAAGAAGAAGAAGAAGAAGAAGAAGAAGAAGAAGAAGAAGAAGAAGAAGAAGAAGAAAAGAGAAAACACACCATTGACAAACACAAAGGAGAACCAAAAACCTGCATAAACTTTGCAGATGCAAATTTCTAAACATAAATGAAAATATAAAAATAATGACTATGAATTAAACAGAAATACAACAATCTCATTATAAAGTGGAAAGGTTTGACCAAGTATCCTTTCTGTTCACACTGGCAGTGCCACCCATCAGTAAACGTCCATTCTTGTGCCTTTCCCTCTTTAATGGTTTTGTTTGGTAATAAGAAAAAAAAACAACCCACAAGGCTGGGCCCTGATCTGAATTAGCCCCTCCCCTTAATGCCACAACTATCTTTTTTAAAAGCTGCATGAGAGTTAATCATATCAGCACCTGCATCACATCAAGTTGGCCTTGTTAGGCGTGAGGACTGACATACCAACTTCTGCTAATGGGAGAGGCCCGGCTGTTTTGTGGCATTCTCTTAATGTTAAACTTGCACTTCTTGACCATCCACATTTTGTTTTTTTTACAAAGCACCCCATCATGAAACCTTCTTCTCAGTCCAGCCACCTGAATTAAGACATTCGTTTGCATGTTGCCTTCACATTTTTAATATGCTAAGTGTGTGTGTGCACACACATGCACACAGACGTCCTCTCTGGAATCACCAATAGGTCGCCAATCCTACTACCTCAGTGACTGACAACAGAAGAAACAAAGGAAACAAGGATGGGAGGGAGGGAGAGAGAAATGAAGATAATCAAGGAGGGGATGGGAGGAAATGCTATTCCATAGGCGGATCCTTTGTTGCCATTGTGAGGGTGACTGGAGGATTAAGCCAAAGGTGGTCAACCTTTGGCCTAATTTCAACAGCCTATTGGCAAGTCTTGCTTTGAGACAATATCTCTGCAATCATTCCTTGGGGTGGGGTGGGGTGGGGGGAGAAAGGGAGGCCATGCCTGCTCCCAGACTTTGGACCCTTACAAATTGCTCCCCCCCTCCGTCAAAATATTGAGTATCACAGAAAATAGGGATTTTGAGGGATTTGAAAAAACAAAAAGAGATAAAGGACCATGTAGGTCAAGGGTGGATAACTTGAAACCTGTGTGTTGTGTAGTTCTCTCCCTCTGTCCTTGCAGTACCTACCACCACCCCCCTCACTGCTGAGTTTACTGCAGCACCCATTTTCAATCAAGAATGTGTGCTCTCTGAACGATGTGTCCCCAGGAGCCTCTCAAGTGCATGGTTCAGTGGTTAGTAAGCAAGGTGTGCACCTTTTTCTGAAGAGATAAACCCCAATTTCATCTGGAAACAAGGCAGGCAGGAAGCACACACTGATTCCAGTGAGGAAAAGCTTATTTTCTGTGAGCATGGCAGTAATACATTTTGCAGCTGGGGGTGGAGGGGAGTGCAGAGCCTGGCCCTTGTCGGCGTTTGCCTCTCTGTGGGATCTTTACAGTACAACTGTGCAAGGAATTAACTGATTTTAACCATTCTTTCTAGCAGCACAAACCTGGGACAAGGCCCCACCTCAAAATTCTTTGACCTCCATTTGCCTTGGAAGAAGCTCCTGCAAGGGAATCTTAAATGGCCACCTCAAAACCCAGCATGAACAAGATAATTGTGTACGACAAGGCCAATTTTGAGGGGCTCAGCAAAGAGTTCACCAGTGATGTCCCTGATCTGCACGAGCTGGATTTTGGCAACTGCATCTCCTCTCTGAAGGTGATCGGGCAACCCTGGGTAGCCTACACTACCTCTAAATTTGAAGGGGATGGTCTTGCCTTTGAGGAAGGGAATTATGAAGAGATTGACAAGAACAACAAAATTTCGTCTCTCCGACTGGTTCATCATGACCTCTCCGAGCCTCTGATCACTCTCTATGAAAATCCTAACTACGAAGGCCAGAGGAAGGTGGTTCAGGAGGAGACCAACCTCACCTATGGTTACTTCAATGACCGGGTCTCCTCCCACGTGGTGCAGAGAGGTGTGTGGCTGTTGTATAAGCACCCAAACCGGGGGGGATGGTATCATATCGCCTGGCCTGGGGAGCGCATTCGCGACTACAAAACAGAGCTCGATTTTGACGATAGCTTGTCTCACCTGCGGCCGCTGCAGCCTGGCCGTCCTGTCATCACTGCAAAGCTACTGTGGGACCAGAAAAAAGTGGAGGCTGAGAAGGATGTTCTGATCGATGAGATCATAGGAACCAACTGTACGGAATATGAGCAAGCATTCACCGCCAACACCTGCCGGGAGTACACGACCAACATTTTCCAAAGCTTCCACTTCTGCAACACCACGTCCTTAAAATTTGGCTTCTCTTTCCAGGTGACCGTGGAAGGTAGCAATGTCTTTGTGGTGGAGAAGGGGAAACACGAGTCCACCACCACCAATGAGAAGGTGGAGGTCCTGTTGCCTGCCAAGGTCCCTCCCTGTACCCAGCTCTCTATTCATGTCATCAAGAAAGAAACCACCACCTCTGTCCCGGTGGAGCTCACCCTTTGCCAGAATGGGAAAGAGAAAAAAGAGCAGGCAGAATATCGGTGCGTGTCAGGCCGTACTATCAGCACCAGATATACCATGACGCCTGTCTCGGCGGCAGAGGGGGCTTCCAAAGCTAAAGTTATCCCCACAACAGAGGGGGGGAATTCCCACGTCAAGGTTGCATGTGAGGATCAGAAGGAGACACTTGCAGCTCATTCTAGGCCAGGAACATCAGATAAGAGCTCTTAAGTCATGTGAATGACTCGTGGGGTGGTGACGGTGTGACGCTACTTCCAGACATAATTCAATCAGAAGAAGAGGAAGGAAAATAAATTATACTGAGTTGTTTCTGGACTTGGTGGTGGTTTCAGGTGTGTGGAGCGTTGCGTTTTAGACCAAAGGGAGATAACTTGAAACTTTGTATCTATTGTTGGGCTGCTGCTCCCGTCAGCCCTAAGGTGCAGAGCACTAAGGGACAGGGATTAAAAGCACTGCAGCCTAGCTCCACAAATTGTCCAACCCCATCATTGATGTTTTGCAAATACTACGGTTTCAATGGTGGCAATTTCAAGGTGGAAAACATAAGACTTCTCTCAAGGGTACACCAATCTCAGCAGATCAGCTGAACACCAAAAATAGGTCTTCAGTTCACCACCACCTTGAACATTTCCTACTATCTTAGAATCATAGCGTCATTGAGTTGGAAGGGCCCGATAAGGTCATCAAGTCCAACTCCCTGCTCAACACAGGAGTCCAAGTCCAAGCAGATCTGACAGATGGGCTGTCTAATTTTCTCTTGAATGTCTTCTGCATTGGAGTGCTCACCACCTCCCGAGGCAATTGTTTTCATGGTCATACTGCTCTAAAAGTTAAGAATATTTTCCCTGATATTCAGCCTAAATTTCGCTTCCTGTAGCTTGAGCCCATTATTGCATGTCCGTAGTTGGCAGAAGACATTCAGTGAGTGATTCAGCTTGAAAGAGAGGATTTGTTCAGACATACTGGGCTTTATCAAGTAGTAGAGTTAGAAGGCTACACACATCAAATATTACAGAGAGGGGAGTGATTAGTGGCTTCGATTATTCAGGTAATGAGAATCCCTGTTGATTTAGGAATATATGTAAATAAAGTGATTTATTAAGTTTACGTGCAACTCTGAGCCACACCTCTAGGGTTCTAACTTAATTAGTCTAGTTGTTGTTCCCTATTAAATATGTTCTAAACTCAGCTGCTGATGCTTCCTTTTGTTATTTAGCAACTATTTTGATTTTGTTTGCTCATTTGAAAAGTATACCTCATTTTTTTACAAGGAATGATTACTGCTACCCACGGGTATATTAATGTGCATCAGGCATGCTGCCATCCTAAATTAATATTCAGTTGATTGTGCAAAGTTCCCAGAAGACATCAAAGCTTGAGTAACTGTGCAACTGGCACATGAATTGGAAAGGAAATGACATACAGTACAGTACTGGGTGACAGGAAAGGATTGCTAAAAATAGGGTGTGTATCAGTTTGTTAGCATTTGTTTTGTAAAGAGAGTTTCTAGTCCTCATGATTGCACAGAGGAACTCAAAACAATGATACACTGATGACTCATTAATCCTATCCTCCTATCACCCACTTAAATGTACAGATCACCCTGTGCTGAAGTTGGGTTTGATGCGCTGCACAAATACTATAATCTACCATTTCCCTCCTTTTAGTCCTGAGTCTCACTCTTAGCTTTGTGTCTTAATTCAAGCTACACCACTGCTCAACCCAGTATTCTCAAGTGTATCTATTCTGCTATGTATACAGTCAAGAATTCAACAGGGTCAGCTTTTCTCAGCAGTTATGGAAGCTATTAAACATCTGCCTGTCATTAAAATCACAGTAGGTTTGTCATGCAAAAGATAGGTAGCTGATGAGAAACTAATCATTCAGTGCCCAAGGCCAATGATCTATTACTATTTGAAGAGACAATCATGCCTCATATGAAACACGTGCATGTATTTAATGAAACATGTATTACGATACTGCACAATCATTAAATACAATGACGTAATCAACTCTTACAGGATATAACTGACTGACATCATGACTAACCCCTATGTAATAGCAGGAAGCAATGAAAGCAGGCAGTTCTGAAGATGCCAAAAGAGATCAAGCAAATAGATCTGTTGAACATGAAACAGAACAGAAATACTGATTACTGTATTATTTTTAAGCTGCTATTTTGCCAAATGTTGAAAACAACATGAATTGCTGAGAATATTTTCAAGAAGATGTATATACTGTACTGTGTGTATATATATATTAATCAAGCAATTGATTAATACATAACCCCAAAATGTGGTTTAGCTTTACTTGAGTTCTCATGCACTCATGTAGTCAGAACTTATTGCCTGCTTGGTTCCCAGTAGAAACAATTCAATGTAGCTCATCTCTCTCTGTGCGTGTATATAGAGACTAGATTGCTACTGAACCCTGCAACTCCCTTTTGGGGACCTACAAGCAATGGGACCAAGAGAATGGCCCCCTGCAATATTTTGGGGTCAAGTGGGCAAAAGTTAGGTCTGAACTTGAACTGGTTCTGGGACAGCTGGTTGTAGAAATGGAGATGAGAGGTCTCTGGCTAAATGGGCTCAGAATCCAGGTAAAATATATATGTCTAAGCAACATGGTACCCTAGAGCCAGGAAATCAAACCATTTTGGGGTGGTCTGGATAAGTGCTTATCATTAGCAGTTCCTGGCATTCCCGCTCTGGTTCTCATCGCCTGCTGTGTCTGTTATACATTGGGGAGTTTCCCCAGGCCCTGCTCTGCTGCTGGGGCTTATACAATGCTCATCATAAGACCCTTCAAGGGTTTCCTTCCAGACTCAAGAAGGCTCATGAGTCATGAGGCTGTCACTCCATTCCCTGACTTGCTACAAATGACATGATGGGCCTTAGCACATGTACCGAGCAGCTATCTCTCCCCAGTCATCATGACTCCTGATATTGTGCAAACCCAACACAGAAACAAACAATTTTACATTGAGCCCATGAGACAAAGCATCAACTATGGAAGAGTTAAGATAGACAGATCTTAAAGTCAACACACGCAAAATGCATAAATCAAGCTTTGACTTCAGCACTGAGACTTGTCAACCTTAGATATTCACCTTTAGTGAGTTTTGCTGGGATGAGACTTCTCCAGAGAGTAGAATCTTACTTTTAAGTAGTTACACTATTTCCTGTCTGCACAAACAGACACCTCATTGCTGTTAAATTCCCTTTACACACACGCACGCACACACACATACTTACACACACACACACACACACACACTTAATTTGTTATAGTTTACGGCTCATAATTTGATGTTGATAATTGCACTTCCATAGAGAAGTGGAAGATCTAACATAAGATAAAGAATGCCATGGTTTTTAGTTTGCAAGACCTGAGAAGAGCTCTTAATATCACAATTTTTTAGAAGTCATTAATTCATAGAGTTGCCATGAGTTGGGAGCAACTTGATGGCACGTTAACAACACCAATACAGTGGTGCCCCGCATAGTGACTTTAATCCGTTCCGGATTAATCGTCGCTATGCAAAAACATCGCTAAACGGATCGAAAAACCCCATAGGAACGCATTAAACTTCCTATGGGCCCCAAACTCACCGTTCAGCGAAGTTCCTCCATAGCGCCGCCATTTTCGCACCCTCGGTAAGCGAGGGCAGGGCGCGAAAACATTTGCGGCGGCCATTTTGGGCACTCGGCGGCCATTTTGGAACCGCCGATCAGCCGTTGTAAAAACATCGCAGTGCGAAACACTTACCGATCATCACAATGCGAGTTTTTGCCTATCTAAACGTCGCAATGCGATCGCAAAAGCGACATTGCTATGTGGATTCGTCGTTAAACAGTGCGCTCATTAAGCGAGGCACCACTGTACTGTCAAAGTATAACTCCAGACTGAAAGAGATGAATCTGTTACTTATAAAAGTGTTTCTGGTCATAAAATCTCAAAAATAATACCTTAGAGGTAGAAAATATGCCCCAAAAGCCATCCAAAATGATTAAGGGACTGGGCTAGTATCCCATGAGGAAATCTTAACAGTTCAGGGCTGTTAAACCTAGGAAATAAGGAAAGGGGAATTATGGTAGAGATATAAAGTCATGCCTTGTGTGGACAAAATGGTTGGGGAAAGTTTTCTCTCTCATAGTACAGTACTGGAAATCCAGTACTACAGATTTCCTATCATCCAAGGAAGCTGATTGGTGGGAGATTCAGAACAAATAAGAGGAAGTGCTTCATAAAGTGTATATTTAAAATATGGAACACACTACTGTATTGTGGTCCCAGTCTGTCTGTCTAAAATATTTTTGCCCTGCCTTTCTCCTTGAAAAGGACCCAAGATGGCTTACCACATTTAAAGACAATATTTAAACTTGAAAACAATTACTGTAGTATAATGGTGGGGAACATCATTAAAAGACAATATTAAAGCTAAGAACAATAAATATACAAATATTTTTTTAAATACTATTCAGAGAAATGGAAAACACAAAAATGGAAAACACAAGTAGCTGGATTGCAGTTGTAGGATATATATATATATACACACACACATATATATGTACATACATATATAGATATAGTAATACACACACACACACACACACACACACACTGGCTGGATAGCAGATGTAGGACTGGGATGCCTTGTGTCCCTAGAGCTCCAGTGCATCCTGGGGAGAACATTTTGTCCACCTTGGCTTAGAGATGCTGCTCAGGAGGTACTAGAAGCTCAGTCCACTGGCTAATCCGTGGATTGTACTCTCCGTCTCCTCTACACTATCCACTGACACAGCTCCCAGTTGATAGCATCTGCCCATAGGTCCTCCTCCTTTGTCCTCAGCTCCTCCTTATATAGCCCCTTTGGGGTTGCCACACCCTTCTTTTCCTCTTCGGTGCCCCCTGCTGCTCCATCAGTGTGGTTGCTGATCCCCCACCCCAGTCTATTGGGGAGCTGCAGGTGGTGAATGGCCTTGCTAGGGAACCTGACATGGAAGGCCCACTCGCAGTTGGACCCGCTTGAGAAGCGGGGTTCTGGCCAGCCCTACATAGCAGCTCTGTCAGAACTTGGAAACGCTGTACTTCTGAACTACAATTCCCAGAATCTCCCAGCCACTGTGGCTATGCCAAAAATGGCAAAATTTTAAATCACTGTGGCTTGTTGCTCAAATGCAGAACAGAAAGACACTATAGATAAACAT